AAAACCACCACAAAGCACACTTTCAAACAAAAAAAAATGATCTAGCAAGCAACTAAGAACCCATAGATAACTATGGATGAAAAGGGTGTTAATACCTTCCCTTTTCATAATCTACCCCCCGAACTCAAGAAATAATCTCAAAGGTCTTTCCTGTTCTTTTCACCCTTTCCTTTACTAGATAAAAGAAAAGTCGGTGGCGACTCTTGCTATCCGCAACAATTGAGGTAAAATGCAAAACATCTCAAGTCAGATCTCCCACTGTGTTACAGCACTTGTACTGTGATACCCCACCAGCAACATTACTTTGTTTCTATCATCTATTTTTTATCTTCTAGCTTCTGGAACGTGTTTGTAACAGACAAAGCCAAACACCTTCAGATGAATGACACTCTGCTTATCTCCAGTCCATTTTTCTAAAGGAATAACTTCCTTCAGCTTCTTCGTTGGACACCTATTCAGAATATATGCTGATGTGGCAACAACTTCTCCCCATAACACGTGAGGTAGCTTTCTTTCTTTCAGCATGCTTCTAGTCATATCAAGCAAAGTTTTGTTTCTTCTTTCAGCAAGACCATTGTGCTGAGGAGTATATGGAGAAGTAACCTCATGTTTTATTCCATTATCCTCACGGAACATCTGGAACTCTGTAGAGTTATACTCATCTTCACCATCCGTTTTCAGAATCTTCAACTTCTGACCACTCTACTTCTCAGCATTCACTTTGAACTTCTGGAATTCAGTAAACACTTCATGCTTAAACTTGATGAGAGTTACCCATGTAATTCTTGTGAACTCATCCACAAAAGACACAAAATATTTATTTCCTCCAAGTGAAGGTACTAGAAATAGTCCACACACATCAGAATGTACTACTCCCAAAGCATGCTTCGCTCTGGGGGCTACTTCTGGTGAAAATGGCGATCTGAGTTGCTTTCCTTTCATGCATATCTCACATGACTTCTCAGGCTTCACAATCTTCAAAATATCATGTACAAGCTTCTTAGAACATAGATTCCCTAAGCTTCTATAGTTCAAATGCCCCAACCTCTTATGCCACAACTTATTGTCACCTTCAGCGCCTTCTGCACTAAGACACGTTGCTTAAGTTGTTTCTACATTCACCTTGAATATTCTATTGCTTCCTTGTTCAGACTTCATAATCAACTTCTGATTGGAATCATACAATATCAAGAGATTGTTTTTCATAACAACTGAGAAACCTTTCTCAATCATCTGATCCACGCTCATCCAATTGCTTCTAATACCAGAAACATACCAAACGTCTTTGATAAGAATGTCTTTCCCATTCTTCACTCAAACTCTGACATCTCTCATACCTTCTGCATTAAGATACTTATCGTTAGCACATCTGATCTTTGTTCTCCTTCTGGAGTCAATGTCTTTCAGCCATTGTTTGTTTCCAGTTAAGTGATTTGAACAGCCAGTGTCCATATACCACAAATCTTCTGAGCATTTTTCATCAGAATCAGAAGCCATTAGTAGCACAAGTTCATCATCAGAGTTTCCCTTAGCCATATACGCTTCTTCTTATTTCCTTTCCTTGTTTGACCTACAATCTCTAGCAAAATGGCCAAATTATTTATAAGAGTAACAATGAACCTTCTTTTTGTCATACCTCTCCTTTCCTTTATGATATCTCTTATCATCAGAAGTTGAGGTTTCTGACTTCTGGAATCTATCACCATATTTATTCTACTTCTGGTCTTTCTTGACAAAGGAAGCCTTCAAAGCTTACTCAGATTCCCTCTCAGAAGTTCTCTCAGTCAGACGTAACTCTTGTGCTTCTAAACTGCTTTGCAATTCTTATATTCTCATGGTTTCCATATTTTTAGAGTGTTCAATAGAAACAACAATGTAATAAAAATGAGGAGTAAGCGACCTCAGAATCTTATCTATAATTATATGTTCAGACAAAGTTTCTCCACACGCCTTCATCTTGTTAGTGATCAGGATCACTCTGGAGATATATTCAGAAACTTTCTCACTGTTCTTCATGTTCAAGTTCTCATATTGCTTTCGCAGGGATTGAAGCTTCATCTTATTTACTGATGTGTCACCACCATAACATCTCACCAGTAAATCCCACACCCCTTTTGACGTTGTCGAATCAGCAAGCTTCTCGAACACACTTTCATCCACACACTGATGGATATATAATAGAGCTTTCTGGTCCCTCTTCCTCATAACCTTCTCAGAAGTTTTCTATTCTTCAGTTGCATATGCTGCAGCTGGTACATAACCATCTGTAACCAGATCCAGAACATCTTGCGCATCAAACAGCACATGCATTTGTATCATCCATCTGTTCCAGATTTTGCCATTAAAAATTGGAAGTTTGGTGTTCAAACTACTGCCTCCATTCATTTTTAACCTTGCACTGATTTTTATCAGATCTTCAAACACACTGTTTCCCAACCCACAAAAACAGATTCTGTTCAGATTTTGTTCAAGATTTCAACAAAAAATCAATGAAACAAAAATCAAGCACACATCTCACAATCACTCGTGTTTCTCAGAAAAAATACAGAATCAGAGGCTCTAGATACCAATTTGTTGGTGTAAGGTAATGAAGTGGGAGAAAAAGAATGAACAAAGAATGATAACAAGACTACTATTGTATATCAAAATAGAGGAGATCAAGTAGGGTACAATATTGATAGCCTAGGATAGCATATTTATACTAAATATTGAAAATGCCAAAAGATTCTATTAAAGATAAATATTAAAAATTGTAGAAATTAACTAAATTATCTTTCCAATAAATTTATATCAAATAACTAGCTTATAATAAATATTAAATAACAAATATGAAAATTAATATAAATATCTCATGATTATTCAACATAAATTTAATATTAGTTACAAAAATTAATCAAATTAATAACGACGTAATTACTAATAGTTTCTTAGAGCATCCACATCCATCATACCCATTTGGGTTCTTTAAGTGGAACCCACATAATTTTTTATATTATTTCACACTTCTAAATTTTTTAAACAACCCATCTACAATTCTCAAATATCCTTGTAACTCATCAAAAAAACTAAAATGGGTCCCACATTTAAAATAAATCAACTACATTCTTGCAATTTTATTTATTAATTTATTATCATGACCCACTTAATTGGAGTGTAGAAGCGTGTTTTAGTATGAGGACGTGCTTTAGTTCAGAAACGTGAAAACAAGTGAAATATCCATTTATTATTGACACAATTTCTTTAATAAATGTGTAGGAACTCTCAAAGAACACCGATAATCATGCTCTTATACATTGTTTTAAACATATACATATATTAACTACTAAGAATGTTTTATACAAACTAATTCTTTTATACTAAAAATACTAAATTTATTTAATTAATTTCACATAAATTTTATTTAATAAAATAACTTTTTTTTTTAAATTTTTGTAGGTATCATTTTTTATGAAAATTATAAATTTGGTTTTAATTATATTCACATCTTTACTAAATACATTAAATTTATTTTAATAAAAAGATATATTAAAAAAATATAAAAACAAATATTAATAAATAGAAAATAAATAAAAATATATGTTAAAAAAAGAATAATATATTTTGTTTTTAACTTATTTAAAACAAAAATATATTTATTCTGTTTTTGCCTTAAATATATATTATTAACACTTAATAAAAACATTTGAGTTTTTATTTTTTATTTTTCAATTATTACGTTTTTAATTATTTTTTCAATATATAATCAATTTTTTTTTAAATATTAATAATTCTATATTAAGATTTTTTTATACTATTTAATTATAAATTATAATTAAATATTTTGTTTTAATATATTTTGTGTAAATATTTTATAATATATACATATTCTGTTTTTAACATAAAAGTATTTAATAATTCAGTTTGTATTCTTTTTGTATTATGTGTTATTTTAAAGAAACAAAAAATAAATATATTTACTATACATAAAATATTTAAAACAAAAATATACCATTATTCTATTTTTTAGTTTTTTTCCTACTATATTATAAAAACCCCAAAATAATAATATATTTATAATAAAAAAAACATATTATATAAAACCAAAAACAAAAATATATTTATATATTTTATTTTATTTTACTATAACAACGATATATTTGCTTCTTGCAAAGTAAATTTTCAAATTCACCTCAAATAATTTACTAAAATGAATTTTTGCAACCGTATGTTTCTCCAATCAAAAATATCTCGCAAGGATGCATTATTCTTGAGGTATTTTTATCATTGAAATATAAAGATTCTATCTCTTTAGACACATTAGTTATTTGACAATCTGATGATTATGTGGTGCACTAACTTGTCATTTATAATTGTTTTTCATTTATTTTCATAGTAAAAATTATTAAATTAATATCATGCCTTTAATTAATGAATTTAAATAAAAAATTTAATAACTTCACCATCTTTAACAAAATCTTCTACAAAATTTAGAAAAAAATTAAAACAAAATGAAAAAACAAAAAAATCAATCTTCTTGCATTTATCCTCAAAACTCTTTGATTCTTATGGATAATTACCTAATAAAATTTTCGATTTTTATTTCACACCCAATATCAATAAAATATTTAGTGATCGCATTAGAATTAAATATTCATCATCTTTATCAATCATCTTCGTCATCGTCAACTTCATAACCTTAAAACTCTTAAATTTTCAAATGGATATTAACCCAATTTTTTGATTGGAGAAAAAAAAGGAAAAAAGTACTATTAATCCAACAAAAAGTTTAACTCTAATGATAATAGTGATATTAACCCAATTATTTTTACATGAAGCAAAATATATTAATCAAAATAGATAACCTCCATACCTAATGCTCTTGGATGAGTAGTTAATTACAAAAATCAATAAATAAAAATATATAAGTGAAGGAAAATAATAAATATGAGAATCATAAAATAAAAACATATAGTAAAGAAAAAAATATTTTATTTTATTTATTTCAATTAGATTGAAATTATTCAACGGTTATATGAACACATGCAAAGATCTCGATCAAAGGCTATTATACATGTCCCTTGACCCGAATTAGGAAAACTAGTTTTACACTTTTTGTCGCAACAATCATAGTTACAGTCATTAGTGCAAAGTCCCAACCCAATATCGCAATTAGGTGTTGGTTCTCCTGGTGGTGGTCGATCAAAAGTACAAGTGCACAAGTTTAAGAATTCACATGATGCTTTTAAAACACTAACACCTCTAGCATATGAATTACAATGAGCAGTACAATCTGCTGCCGCACAGTTACCCACAACTTTTGTGCATTCACCATCAATCTGAATAAATTGAACTGCATGTGTTCGGAAAAAAATGAAGAAAATATTATCAAGGTTTATAATTTGTTATTAGTATCACTTAAACAACATAGTGACAAAGGTTAGAGAGTATTCTTACCAGTAAAAACTAAGACCAAGACAGCAAAGAAACATGAAGACTTTGACATTTGGTTTGCCATTACACAACAATATTGAGTTGCAAATTTTTTTTTTTGATTTTTTACTCAATGTTGATGTTGGTATTATAAGAAAAAGAGACATGCTAACGAGAGTTAAAGGAATTATTTTTAAAGCCTTAAAAAAAGTAACGTTATTTTTTTAAAAAATGTACTTATTTAATGCATTTGAATTTGAAATGGTAAACTTTTTTATAAAATATTGTTTTTCTTTAGAATTCATAAAATGTAATTAAGATTTGCATAAAAATCAAAAGTTTATTCAATAATAAGTGAGATATTGTTAATATTATTTCTTTAAAAAATATTTAATGACAGATTTTATATTTAAAATGATAAGTATTAGAATTTGTAAATGCTTTGTCATTGTTTTCAAAATTCATTCCTAAATTTAAAGTAAAATTAATAAATGTCATCATTGACTATAATTAACACTTTTATACCGTGCAATGAATGGGATAAGTTATGAATACATAGAAATTGGTTACGGAGTGATAAATTGGAGTAATCAATATTAAATATTAAATAATATATTAAATAAAATTTATTGAAAAGAAAAAATTATATAATTAAAAATTATTTAAGTGAAATTTTATTCAAAATTTCGCGCATAAATATGTATTTTGTTTTAATATATTAATGATATAATACAAAAATAAAGGAAAATATTCAATGATAGGAAATGGAGATTGAATTTTGGACTTTTCCTCTCCTCCGTTTGCTTTTTTTTTTCTTTTTGAAAAATTAAAAATATAATATAAAATACATTAAACATGTTTTTTAGAATATAGTAATGTAAGATTTTATATTTTAAATTTTAAGTCTTAATCTTTTAAAAAGCCATACATTGAATGGTTTTTATGTTGCTTGGGAATATTTTTATGTCATGGAGATATTGAATAATAATAATAATTCAAATGCTAAATTATTGAACGGGTTTCTAAGAATATATTAATGAATTTTTTAACAATGAAAACTAAAAGTTAAATATGAAAAAACAAAACAAAATTATTTTTTTATATTAACGTGAAATTACCCGAACTTTTGTTGAAATTTGAATTTAATATTAAATTTGTTAAAAGTAAAAATGTGTGGATATAGAATAATGACAAAGTAAATAATCTCAAGCAAGACAATAATCTTTTAGAAGTGAAGACCAATACACAAGAAAGAAAAAAACATTATAGCAAAAAATAGTTTAGGCAATACACTTTTTACCAACACTTATTTATAAAAAGAGCTACTAAAAACACAAGTCGATATTACACAACACTTTTGAAAATAAGTGTTGGTTAAGGTATTTGTTCTAGATTGAGTCTGCTCTTGACTCAATTTCCAGTGAGACTCAATTCAAGTATGTCAATCTGTACCACTGACCGATTATGTCCTCGAATACAACAGACAACTACCACTTTTTCTCTGCAAGGAGACAACCTCACCACACGGGGACAACATTTCGAGTAGACTAAGGACAGTCACCTCCGACCATGAAGGCTTCGAGGACACCTCGACTAGCTCGTCGATTAAGGTTGGTCCCCTCACCCGACCTCGCGTATGGCGGGGATCACCCACGACGGGCAGATACTCCTCCCGAGCATCCTCCTCGTAGGGCTGACTACCAACGTCTCTGATATCACGGAGTCTCCGTGGCTCCGGAAAGATCGCATCTATATCCTCCTGACCTAGCAGAGGATGTCATCCAGGTAGAGGACCACGTGTGGGTCCATACTACTCACGTAGGACTTGGAAGTCTCTACGTTGGGCCTACTTGACTAGCCCAATGTAGAGAGACCTTGGCCCAACACTAGGGGCTATAAATACCCTCTCTTTCGAGAGGGCCAAGTATTCAACATTTTCTTACTCTCACGCTTGCTTGCTCATTCCACAACTTACTTGAACATCGGAGTGTCTTGCAGGTACCCCCCCTCCCCCCACCTCACTCAACTTCTGCTCGAGCTAGTTGTGACGGTCCATTCTGATCAGGTACGATCAGTGGTGCCGTCTATGGGAATCTTGCTTCCCCGTCTTCCGTTTACTCAAGACTAAAGATAAATCACTCTTTCAACTGTCATGGATGAACAAACAGCAGAAAACAACATGAACGTTTGCATCGCCGACGTCAACAATAACGTCGCTGACAATAATGGCGACATCGACAACGTTGGTATTGTTGGGCACAACACAGCCCCCACCGTTAATATGCCTGGTCCTTCAGACTACATAGATGGAGTAACTGCCTCATCATCATCACTATCTCGACGACTTGAAGACGACCAGCCACCTCCTAAAAACTACCAACCCAACCAGTTCCAGGAGGTCCCCGTTCCCGCCGGAGCAGACGCCACAACTAGGGCACTGTTCACAGCGATAAACCAAATAAATTATCTGATCTTCTCTCAATGAGAGAGATTGAGGGCGTTCGAAGATGCTCGGAGAGCCCCCAGAAAACATAGAAGGTCCCATTCTCCTCCTCATCGCCAAGTAGAGGAACATCCCCAATTTCCCCTGCGAAGACGTAGGCGAGACGCCTCTCGAAGACCCTCTCCCTGACCAGTCGGACGGTGCCCTGCATTGGAGAGGGACCATCCCGTTGACACGGGGAGACGCGATCACATTCCCCTGTGTCAAGAGCAGAGACCCCTTGGATACAGGAGCAGGGGAAATAACGAGCGACCGTACCGCCCGAGGAACGCTTCACGTGACCAGGGCCGCCATAACCACCACTACAACATATCTCCTTCTCGCTCACCAGATTGGAGTGACGAAGATGACCCACGCGGTCCCTTGTCACAAGCCATCATGGAGGCACCCATCCCCCCGGGCATGGAGAAGCCTCCCCATCTAAAGGAGTACGACGACATTGCTGAACCGGTCGACCATATAGACGAGTTTGAGGCAATGTTGCATTATTACAATGTCGGGGGCCCAATAAAATGTCGGTTGTTCCCCACGACTTTGAGGAAAGCTGCGATGGACTGGTACAAGAGTCTCGCCCCGGGGTCAATCACCTCCTGGAGAAATTTAAAGAACCAATTCATCAGTTTGTTTACTGCTTCACGTCGCCATCCAAAGACTAAAGAAGCCCTCGAGGCTATCATCCAGAGACACAATGAGACCCTGAGGGAATTTATTGATCGATTCAACTGGGAGGCCATCCAGGTCCCCTACACCGATCACATGAAGAGATACCTTCTCGAGAGGGGACTCCACCCGGGCACGGAAGTCAGAAAGGCTATTGGCATCAAACCACCCCCGACATTTGATGCCCTCCTCGAGAAAGCCAGAGCATACATGGACTACAAGGAGAGGGAAGCGGCCAAAAGAGCCCGGGACCCCAGGAATCGTGGATCAACCAGCAATCCGCAACAACAAGACATTGGCCCTCCTCGACGAACTAGCGAGAATAGGAGGGATGATAAACCCCGAGACCCTCGTGAGAAAAGAGGACCCTGGGGAAGTTTATTGAGTACACTCCGCTAATAACTTCCCGCGAGCGCATTTTTGCGGAGTGTGCGAACACAGATTTCAAGGACGGCAACGTCAAGCGTCCTCGGCCCGCTCCTGCTAAGCCCGGGGCAGATCAGAGCAAATACGGCCAATATCATTGAAGCCATGGACACTTGACTGAAGATTATGTTCATCTCAAGGATGCTATTGAGACCCTCATAAAAGGGGGAAGACTCGAGCAATATCAGCACAATGACGCCCCCCGTCGAGATTCCTGCGAAACATGGGAGATAAAGAAGGATGCCCGACCATCTGATGAGTCGGTCCCCATCCAGACCGTATTCTCCGTTACGAGACCAGATGACTTCTACGTCCTCGAACATATGGAAGATGTACAGTAGGTGGGAAATCTTCCCCTCCGCCATCTTCATAAATTGTGAATGGTTTAATGACATAACTATAAATTCAACAAAGAGGAAGTTGGATGAGCTGTTCGACGCCCCCCTCCCCTGCAAACGGTATCTTTCGAGAGGGTTAAGGGAAGATCAGATCCAATCACCTTTTACCTCGAGGAGTTTCCCAGAGGGGCCCTCAATTCACCCATCCCGCTTCTGATTATGGTGAGAATGGCTAACTTTGATGTTCATCGCATCTTGGTCGACGAGGGAAGTTCCTTTGACGTGATGTACAGCCAGCTTTTCAGAACCCTGCAGCTCGACGACTCTCACCTTTCACCATACGTGGAGTCTGACCTGTAGGGCTTTAACGTCTCGACCTCCAAGCCATGGGGGTACGTGGAGCTCATGGTCACCTTCGGCGAAGATACCGCCACCAGGAAAGTTAAGATGCGCTTCCTGGTCATCGACTTCCTGTCTCTCTACAACTGCATCCTTGGGAGACCGACACTGGCAGAGTTGACCGCAGTACCCTCCACCGTCCATCTGAAGATGAAGTTCTACACAAAAAGGCACGCGTCGCCACCATCCAGGGTAACCTACAAGATGCCCGAAGATGCTTCAATGCCGCACCCAAGGGGAAAATCACGGTCGACACTGGGGCACGGCCCGCCAAGAGAACTGCAACAACGTGACCAGAGCCACAATAGTATGAGCCATGGCCCATCAAGGCAGAAGTACAGAGTGCTCCTCCAAAGGTCGACTCAATCTCGTTAGACACCCGCTTCGACCAAGATGAAGAACCCAATGGCGAGCATGGGCTCCTCTGACCAATTCCGAATGGGGACTTCGAGCTCATCCCTCTTGGTGAAGCCCCGAACAAAGTGGTGAAGATCGGCACCGGATCCCCGACCTGGCGAGGAAGCAGATCAAGGATTGCTTGAGAGAGAATGCAAATATGTTCTCATGGAGCGCTACAGAGATGCTTGGTCTCGACCCCGAGGTCACCTGTCATCAACTCGCCATTGATCCAACCGCTAGGGAAGTAGTACAACGTAGGCGTAGGCAGTCTCCCTAGAAAACGGAGGCTGCTGAAAAAGTTGTAAAAGACCTCCTAGAGGCAAATTTTATTTCTGAAGCCCGATATTCAACCTGGCTGTC